AATTACGTAAGAATGAACTAGATAGGTTGTAAGAGCAGAAATAGATAATTGAGAGATAAATTGATCATTCTTGGTAGAAGTAAGGTAATCACGACTTAATGCTCGAATAGTAGACTGACATGATATTTGGATAGCAGAATCTAGATTCTAGATGCTATAAAAATGTATTTCATAAGATTTCGTGAAATGACTTCTAAAGAGGTTAGAACCAGAGTGGACGTTGAGTTAGGAATCGAAGTCATGTTCAAAATCCAATTCACAATCAAATAGATTTGGGTTATATAATTTAGTTTGTGACAGAAACTCTGACAAAAATCAAGATACTAGGAGCAATCCAAGTTTGAACAAGAATTCACATTCGAAATCACGTTCAAACACAACTTTCCGTTAGAATGCAAACACAATTTTTACAACTATTAGGTTCGCGCTGATTGTTTAGTTTTTAGATCTTATAAATACCTAAGGAAGCCTCTCAAGTCAGAATTTATCAGTTTTCAACCCTAGGCAACCCTAGAGAGTGAGAGAGATGGATAAAACACAAGATTCGAAGAGGATCTTCACATTGGAACGGATCAAAGGCACTAGGTTTACACAACAACGTAGGATTAAAGGTAAGGGGTTCTTCTTGAGTTCTTTCATTGAGACTTAGGTTATATATATGTATGTTTTAAATCTTCTTGATAGTTATATGATAAATAATTATGAGTTCTTGGTTGTTTCCAATTGAAATATAGTTTTAAACAAAATACATGTTTGGGTTTAAGAAATTCTTATTCTTGGTTTCCAAAATCCTATTTTTGCTAAATACATGTTTTCATGTAAAAAGTACATGAATTTTGGATTTCTAAATTCTTATTCTTGATTAAATTATGTTTCAATCAAATACTTGTTTTTGTTCCATGAAGCTAAGAGTATTGGCAACACCTTAGATTTGTGATGTCGAAATTGTAAAGACTTCTTGATGCGATCTCTGACATATTTTAATTCTATTATTATTAGTGTATATTAAAAATTGAGATACATGGATTTGATGGAACTTGTGGTTGTTTGAGTACATGGTGTTTGGATAAAGTGTGGTTTTTCATCTCTATATGGTTTGGGTGTGACAGACTTGAATTTTCTTCGAAAACTGTCGTAGTGTTAGAAGTTAGTCTATTCCGGTGAGGATGAGATGATTGCCTGACACTTGTAGTGGTTTGTTTTCTTGAGAGTCCAATCACTATTGTTCATGTAGGTTGGAAGCTAAGGGATGATATACCTTTTCTGAAAATGATTCATCAATGTCGTGGGAGACTGTATACGCCCTTCCTAAAGTGGCTTGTGTTGTGGTCCTGTGGGAATTGATTGAGATTGTTTGTGTTGGTGGTGGGTGAACGAGGTAGGATCGTTACATAGATTCCTGAGAAGAAACTAACATAAATGAGACAAATGAGATGATGTTATTGAATTATTTGTTGATTAGTTTGACTCTTTAATGTTTATTTATGTTATTAATTTACTGTATTCCATATACCTAGGAGCATTATGACTGTTATTGTTTTACTTTTAAAAAGGTCTATATATGACTTGCCTTATTTATATTGTTTTAAAAACTTTATTTGGATTTGAGGGGAATTTTCTACGGGCTTTTGCGCACCCTTTACAAAAACACATTCACATATTTTGGTATAGAAGAGAATGTCAATGTGGTTAAGCAGGTTGACTACGTGGAGGAGGAGAAGAATCAAGATCTGGATCCCATTTTGGAGGATTAAAGATGTTTACTTATTGGCTAGAGTTTGAGGGATTGAAATAATGTTTTGTTTAGATTTAATTATTCTGTTGCTAGATACATTTGAGTTTTAAGTTGTAAGTTGGAAAGTTACATTGCTTTATTGACATTAGCATTTATTCTTTATCGAATGTAATGGTTATTTTTAGTTGCTCTCATGATTGAATGGTTTGTAGATAGTAATATTTTTCAGGATGGATTCTGAGGCATTACAACTATTCCAATAAACATGACTTAACATAATCTCATGAAATAAAGATAATAACATTGATTGCAAAATAATTGGCAATCCCCTCCTCATTCACATAATTCATGTGTCAATCAACATCCTCTTGAGATCAAATAGGTCCTTCTATAGTTGTAATGGGTCCTCGGGATAAAAGATCCTGAAACAAATGATATTTGGGAATTCAAAAAGTTATTCCAAGAGAGCAATAATTTTCTCAACGATATTCTTCAATTTTTTTTTCTTTTTTCATCATTTAGAAGCATAGTTCAATAACACTATCTCATACTATTTTTTTCAATTATTTGAATCATTTTTTTCTTCTCTCTTTATTTTTTATTTTTTTCCTTGCAAGTTCATCACCATGTATATATATATATTTTCCTTTTGATATCATAAACTTCACCTCTTTCTTCATTTTTTTTTCTTTGTCCCTCATTGAACAATATAAAATCAATGTCGGGATAACCAAGGTAAGGTAAAATACATCATATTCTTAGCTTGGTCATTATATGTGGCTTAAGAATCAAAATTATGCAAAAGAGACTCAATCACAACTTATAAGGATAATAATAATAGCAAAAGAATAAGGTGAAGGCTCAAATTAAATCAAAAATGGACTAGACTCATATCTCAAGTGCTATTGACAAACATACTTCAAAAGCAAATAAATTCATAAATAAAACTATCATTCACAACTATATTGGCTAAAACAAACAAATTGAGATTATTCAATAAAGTTTGCTAAATAAAATCATATTTTAAAGTAAATGCCATAACCATCCACTCAAAACTCACAAATGTTAATCAATTCCTCTCCACTATGTGCATCAAATCTCAAAGTAAAAGTATATTATTCAAAATTTAACAATAACATAGTTAACCATGCACTAATAATTTGAGCTTCAATTGGGAACACAACTTATGATACTAAAATATAGAATAAAGTTCTATAACCGGATCAATCAAGCATGCCCTATCTCCATACTAATCAAGCCACGAGAACATAATTTCAGACAATTAATAAAAATAAAATTAGCATGAAAAATGTACTTATTAAAAAAAAAATTGTCAGGAACGTCTACTTTTAAGGACTCCGAGTTAAACTTTTGGACGTAGCTCTGCGGTGTGTCATTCAGCCCTTGCTTCACATTCAGTAAGTAGTAGCTCAGCTTTCAATAGGTTGGAGCTCTAATGAAATGCAACACGAATGAAATGGAGAGTTCCCTGAATGATGAGATTGAAGGTGGGGTCAATATGTTGAACGTTAGGCCAAGCTCTTCAGGGTGATCACGAAAGCTCGGCATCACACTGGATCCTGGTATCCATGCAATTCTATCTAGTTCTTGTAGGTATTTAAGTGGTCCAAGGGATCTTTTGTCCCATTGAAAGTATCCATTTATGACATTCTGAATTTTTGAGGAAGAGGATAATGCAACACCTTAGGAGTGAATAGAGACTCCGTCTGATCCATTGTCATTGGGGTTTTGTTCTTTACCATCTCCTTCATGTGGCTGAGCTCATGCTAGGTTTCTTGAAACGTTGCTCCCAAAATTGTTCTTTTCTTTCTTGAAGGAATGGGGGGAGCTCGTTTCTGAGAGTTTCCCTATTCTAAATTTGAATCTCCTCATCCTCCTAAATCTTTTGATCTCGACGATGGATGTTGCCAACTGATTAACTATGCTCGTAATCCTCTATAATTTCCCTTAAGTGGCTCTAGTGTTGATGTTCTCATCGTTGAGGATCATCTTGGGCTGGTTGTATCATTTGGGGATGCTAGGCGTGTATGAGGTTTAGTAACTCCTCATTTTGTTGGAGGAGGCAATTGTTGGCTTGATGGAGGACCTCGAGTTTGTTGTTTGGAGGGGAATCCCCCATCGGTGGATTAATTTTAGGATTAGGCAGGGGATTTTCCTACTGCCTCCCAGTGGCGATTTCTCTTTGGTTTTGCAAACGTAAGAGGTTCATCTGATTTCTGCTCATGTTGCACGTAAAAACTATAAATTACTGAACTAATCAGTAGAGTTTTTAATAAGAAATAGACATTTCCCACGGACGGCGCCAACTGTTGTTATGTGCTGCACAATTTAACAAGGCTATGATTTCTAGGGGTCAGGAAATCACTACGAGATTGAGTGAGAGTTCCTAGGCTTTTAAGAATGGTTAGGGATTATATACAGACGATTTATAGTGGTTCGCCATTTTAGGAACTCGACTAATCCACTCTTAAAAGAATCTCTTACTCAAAGAGAATATTTTATTGATAAAAGAGGGAGATTATACAAAGTATTTGTTCAGGCTAGTTTCTTGTGTTATATTGTGAGGGATATCCCTCTTATTTATAATCTTCCAGGACTTTGCCTGATTTCTTGGTGTGATCCTTGCCTCTTCTTTGTAAAGGATGCGGTTGTTACGTAGTCACCAAGGGCAGTGCTTTGGTGGTTGCGGCTCTCTTGCTTGAATGGAAGACCGTCGTGATTTATGCGTAACGCTTCAATGGGCACTAGTTGTCATCCCCGTTGTTCCTTCGGTGGTATTGTTGCCGGGGAGAACCGAACTGAGCGCCTTTGGTTGCTGGTCATGAGATGCATGACTCAAGCTCAAATGGCTGAGTTGGGTGGGCTGAGTTTGAGTGACCGAGCTCCTCCTTAACCAAATTTAGAGTATAATCATAATCTATATAATAATTAAAATAGTAATAAATTTTAATAGTAGGTGGGACTAACTTTTAAAGCCATAGTCCAACCAATATTATGTTGAATCATGAACAACGGCAGTCTCACATATATTTAGCCAGAAATAAATAAATATAAACTCATCCACAGATTAATAGCATAGAAGCCAAGATTTTCAATTTATAAGTACAAATCTTTAATTTCAAGGAGATCATGGTCGGATAACTTCGGAAAAACACGTTAATATGAAAAATCACACGAAAAGTCCAAGACAAAAATCACTAAACCTTAAAAGAATTAAAGAACACAATGTTATGCAGTCCTAATCCTAAACTGTTTCAATCTGGTGAGTCTCCTCAGTTTGCTGCTCTTCTTCTTCATTCTCTCTAGACATCTCTTCAAGCGACTTACCCTTCGTCTCGGGCACTAAAAATGTGCAACACAACCCAAGTACATTGATCACTCCAAGCACCATAAGAGCATATCTCATTCCAATTCCAGCAGGGTATCCCGGATCGGCCTTGGACTTGTCCTGATTCTGAGCAGCATACAAAAACCCGAACGCTCCCACAATTGCACCGGCCTTCCCAGCAGCAGCAGAAATTCCATGGCATGTTGATCGAAGCCGAGCTGGAAAAACCTCGGCCGGCACTACAAATGTAGTACTATTAGGCCCGAAATTGGCGAAAAAGAAGGTCAGTCCATACATCACCAAAAACCCTGCATGATTTCCTTTTTGTATCCAGTGGTTATATGGAATTGCAAGTGCAAACATGAACACAGTCATGAAGAAAAACCCTAGCAATTGGATAGAGAAACGCCCGATTCGGTCGATGAGGAAGACAGTGAACCAGTATCCAAGAAAAGTACCACAGAAGGCTAAAATGGATTGAGCTCTTGCAATTTTGTAAAGCTCATCAAGTGCACTCATGGTGGGTGCCTTTGGAAGCCACCCAATTGCACTGAAGATGTCCTTCTGGAACAAGTTTTGGCTGTAATATGTTATGTCAATCAAGAACCAACTGGTGGTTGTGCCCAATAAGTGCAGGCCATGCCGGCGAAGAAACTCCGACGATCACAACCCAAAGGAGTTGCTTTTGATATCCAATGGCTTCTCTTTCTCTGCTTGAATTTCTACGTTCAATACTTTGGACATGTCCTCGCTGGCCTTGGTAGCGTTCTTGGCAACCAAGGCAGTGTAACGGGCTGTTTCCGGCAACTTCATCCGCCAATAATAGGTCAACGCCGCCGGCACAGCCCCTAACATGAGGATAATCCGCCATACATAGTCCGCTTCAGCTGGAGTTGAGCCTAATGGATCGACTGAATAAGGTGGAGCATCAAATTTCGCACGAAAAATAGATGACACGGTAAGAGCCACCAGCCCTCCCAAAAGTATCCCCACCCCCTGCATGGCAAAAACCGCCGCCACAAACGCGCCACGAGTCTTCTTGTTAGAGTACTCCGCCATGATAGTGGCGGAGAGAGGGTAGTCGCCTCCAATACCAAACCCTAGCCAAAATCTAAAAAAACAGAGTGTCACCATCACAGCCCGTGACGAGCTTCCAAACGACAGCCTCGAGGCTATAGGGCAGAACATCATGAGCATAAGGGTAATCCCATAAACCCTCTTCCGACCCATCTTGTCGCCAAGCCACCCGAAGAAAAGTTGTCCGGCTAGGGTCCCGCACAGTGCGACACCGTTCACCGCCGCAGCCACGTTTGGCGGCAGACTTCCGGGCTTCGACGAGCCGTCAACGTGGTAGTAGATCCGGCCGAGGAGTTTGGTGACGAGAGAGATACAGAAGAGGTCGTAGGCGTCGGTCAAAAAGCCCATGCCGGCGATGACAATGGCCTTGAAGTGAAATAGTTGAGTTCTTGCATCGTCAAGCTTGGTTAAAACAACTTCTTGGTCTTTCGCCATTGATGGGTTCTCGAGTTTCTCTGAGATTTCTTCTCTAACAGATCAAATATGGTCAGATTGATGGATCAAGTGACGTTGCTTGAAAAATATAGGTTGGTAGGGGCTGTGAGAGGTTTGATATAGGGTTTTGGTTATGGAATCCGAGTAGAACTCTATTTCCTTATCTTCTTGGATCATGGAAAGAAATATGGGTAGGAGTATTTCTCACAGACAAATCTCTATTCTAACTTTATTTAATTTTTTATTATTAAACTATTAATTTCATATCTTTTATACCCACTCTATTAATAAATAAGTTCATTCCACACTAAATACACCATTTTAATAAGTAAATATACTTTATATTTTCAATAATATTAGACTAACCAAATTACTTCTATATTTTATTATAATTAGAATTTCATTCTCTATCTTATTTCATACATTCACAAAAATATTTTTTTAATATTTATTTTTACAGATTAATATTATTTCTCAATTTAATTATATGTGTTGATTTCATGTTTGTTATATGGATTTGTTGGAATTGCTCCAATATTACTATAACAAGAAAATCGCTCTGATACTATTTTGTTGGAGTTAAGAGGACTACAAATAAAATGAAAAGAAATAGAGGAGGATATGATCACGAAAGATTTTTATACAAGTTGATTATAATCACACACTCAATTTAGACTCTTCAATTACTACTCAAGTTTACTTACTTGAAACTCTAGGTCATACATATAATCCCTAATATTACATTAAGGTACCATTACACCCAATAACTCTAATAAACTCTACAATATTAAGACACCATTATTTGGGAATTAACACCCCACCAATACGCTCGTCTTCCACTACTTGCATATTTATTGCCTACTAACACACACCAAATTAACACACCTTAATATTATAATAAACTCTAAAACAAGTTTATTTTTCAACAACCCCTCTTAAACTTGATTTTGCACCTCCAAGTCCTTATCTTGGAAATCTTTTCATGGTTGAGGGGTTTCATGGAATTATTGGAAACTTCTTGAACTTGAGTACCACCTCTTTCAATAGCAAAAATCGTCAAAGTCATCTCCTTCGCAATGTAGGGCTTATGATCAATTTGGACATGGTCATACATTATCTTCAATTTGTTCATTGTCTTCTTCGCATTTCTGCATTTGCATTCATTCTTCTTGAACTTGTCACATCTCTTGAATTTTCCTTCGAGTGGCTCTCTTGAATCGAAAATTTCCTCCATATCTACCCTACCTGTGTCACTTAGAACATTCTCTACACTAAGTTGTAAGTAACAATTAGTGAAATTTTCAAGAAATACATTACCTTGAACATGATTCTCAACAAGATGACCAACACTTTCATGCTTGATTGCAAAAGTATTTTCCATGGTCAGTACTACATAAGATCCCACTTTAACATCCTTAATCACATAAGGATCCTTGATTTTTTATCCATGCTTTACAAATTTTTTTTCTTCCATTTCTTGAGTTGCTTCTTCGAAATCATCATTTTCATCATCATCTCTAGTCTCTTGAACTTCAACTTTAACTTTTTCAATTTCTTTCACTTCATCAAGATGATGCTCTTCTTGATTCTCCATTAGTGTATCTTCAAAATCACTTTCTTCTTTTACATTCTCATCTTCTTCAAAGCATTGTATCCAATACTCCTCGGGTAAAATTCATCTTCATGTTTGGACACTACACTCTCAATCATTTTTGCAAACATGATTTGGAGAACTTGAATTTACTGCAAGTTTCCAAATCTCAGGATGAATCGCTGTCTTAAGAACTCCAAGTGTCTTTTCCTCTTTATTCTCTCGGATTCTTGTAGGTAAGCCACTTCTTGGCTTTTCTTCAATCACATCCCATAAATCATATACTTTGAGATAAGAATGTAGAGTAATCTTCATTCTTTTCTAATTAGAGAACATCATCTTTTCACACTAAAAATACATATTTGGAGAATCTTCCATGATAATCAATGACGACGATCTATCAAGACTTCAAATATCGTAATATCTCTAAAGGTGAGCTATCTAAATTTCCAAGATTATAAACTTGGCTCTAATGGAGAGTTTTCTAGACTTCCAAAATTGAAAGTTGGCTCTGAATGACAGTAATCTTTCAGGATCGGTGCTGGTTCTGATACCAAGTTTTTATAATTACTACAACAAGAAAATGGTTCTGATACTACTTTGTTGGAGTTAAGAGGACTACAAATAAACTAGAACAAAGTAGAGGAGGATATGATCACTCAAAGAAAAATATTTTCATACAAGTTGATTACAATCACACACTCATTTTAGACTCTTCAATTACTACTCAACTTTACTTACTTGAAACTCTAGATCATATATATAGTGCCTAATATTACATTAATGTACCATTACACCCAATAACTCTAGTAACCTCTATAATATTAAGACACCATTATTTGGGAATTAAAACCCCACTAATACTCTTGTCTTTCACTACTTGCATATTTCTTGCCAACTAAAACACACCTAATTAACACACCTTAATATTATAATAAACTTTAAAACAAGTTTATTTTTCAATAGGATTTTCATTATTTTAGATATGTTTTGGTATCTCTGTCGAGTTTAATAATGTTTTATTTAAAATTTATGTGTGTGTATATATATGTATACTTTTAGATTATTTGTTCTTTTTTATCTTGTTTAAGTTTTACATCTATACTTAATTTTTTTTTTCTTGTTTGATTTTGTGTCTATGCTTGATGTTTTTTTTTTGGGGTCATGTGTGGCTTTACTTCTTGTAGTTTTGTTTGTTCTTTTAATCTTTGCTTTTTTTTTCNTCTTCATTCTTTTCTAATTAGAGAACATCATCTTTTCACACTAAAAATACATATTTGGAGAATCTTCCATGATAATCAATGACGACGATCTATCAAGACTTCAAATATCGTAATATCTCTAAAGGTGAGCTATCTAAATTTCCAAGATTATAAACTTGGCTCTAATGGAGAGTTTTCTAGACTTCCAAAATTGAAAGTTGGCTCTGAATGACAGTAATCTTTCAAGATCGGTGCTGGTTCTGATACCAAGTTTTTATAATTACTACAACAAGAAAATGGTTCTGATACTACTTTGTTGGAGTTAAGAGGACTACAAATAAACTAGAACAAAGTAGAGGAGGATATGATCACTCAAAGAAAAATATTTTCATACAAGTTGATTACAATCACACACTCATTTTAGACTCTTCAATTACTACTCAACTTTACTTACTTGAAACTCTAGATCATATATATAATCCCTAATATTACATTAATGTACCATTACACCCAATAACTCTAGTAACCTCTATAATATTAAGACACCATTATTTGGGAATTAAAACCCCACTAATACTCTTGTCTTTCACTACTTGCATATTTCTTGCCAACTAAAACACACCTAATTAACACACCTTAATATTATAATAAACTTTAAAACAAGTTTATTTTTCAATAGGATTTTCATTATTTTAGATATGTTTTGGTATCTCTGTCGAGTTTAATAATGTTTTATTTAAAATTTATGTGTGTGTATATATATGTATACTTTTAGATTATTTGTTCTTTTTTATCTTGTTTAAGTTTTACATCTATACTTAATTTTTTTTTTCTTGTTTGATTTTGTGTCTATGCTTGATGTTTTTTTTTTGGGGTCATGTGTGGCTTTACTTCTTGTAGTTTTGTTTGTTCTTTTAATCTTTGCTTTTTTTTTCCTTCTTGTTTTGTTTTTTCTTATTTCTTTCTTTTTTTCCTTTTTTCGTTTTTTTTCTTGTTTTGATCTGCTTCTTTCTCTTTATTTTTTTCTTGTTTTGGCATGCTTTTTTTTTTTCACTTGTTTAGTTTTTAATTGTTTTTTTTCTTGTTTTTTTTTTGCTTCTTGTTTCGTAAATATATTTATTTATTCAAATTAATTATCTTATTTTATTATTTTTTTCTTACTATAACTTCTTTTTTAGTTTTGTTAATTTTGTTAATTTTGCACTCTCTTGTGTTTCTTTTGGGCTTTGATAGATTTTGTGTGTGTAAGATTATCGGACTAGAAATTCCAATACTATGAGGTATGTAACACAATTCCCAGATGCAATAACTCCTTTTATTGCTAATTATTGCTACTGTCATTGATGTCACATTGTGGGTTTTAGGTAGTTGCTAGATTATTGGAGATGGGGGATGATGGTTGGAAATAAGTGAGGANCTATAATATTAAGACACCATTATTTGGGAATTAAAACCCCACTAATACTCTTGTCTTTCACTACTTGCATATTTCTTGCCCACTAAAACACACCCAATTAACACACCTTAATATTATAATAAACTTTAAAACAAGTTTATTTTTCAATAGGATTTTCATTATTTTAGATATGTTTTGGTATCTCTGTCGAGTTTAATAATGTTTTATTTAAAATTTATGTGTGTGTATATATATGTATACTTTTAGATTATTTGTTCTTTTTTATCTTGTTTAAGTTTTACATCTATACTTAATTTTTTTTTTCTTGTTTGATTTTGTGTCTATGCTTGATGTTTTTTTTTTGGGGTCATGTGTGGCTTTACTTCTTGTAGTTTTGTTTGTTCTTTTAATCTTTGCTTTTTTTTTCCTTCTTGTTTTGTTTTTTCTTATTTCTTTCTTTTTTTCCTTTTTTCGTTTTTTTTCTTGTTTTGATCTGCTTCTTTCTCTTTATTTTTTTCTTGTTTTGGCATGCTTTTTTTTTTTCACTTGTTTAGTTTTTAATTGTTTTTTTTCTTGTTTTTTTTTTGCTTCTTGTTTCGTAAATATATTTATTTATTCAAATTAATTATCTTATTTTATTATTTTTTTCTTACTATAACTTCTTTTTTAGTTTTGTTAATTTTGTTAATTTTGCACTCTCTTGTGTTTCTTTTGGGCTTTGATAGATTTTGTGTGTGTAAGATTATCGGACTAGAAATTCCAATACTATGAGGTATGTAACACAATTCCCAGATGCAATAACTCCTTTTATTGCTAATTATTGCTATTGTCATTGATGTCACATT